CACCATAGACTGTGGTGCAGTGGTTAATCTTTTCGCCACTGCGCGCAGAAGACCGCGATTCCCGAGTGGTGTAGTTGTTGTTTTTTCTCATCAAGTACATGCATATGCGTACCTCCGTCTGTCTGCTGGGATTTTGAGTCCCACTCAGCGAGGGTTCACCCAAAAATGCAAGGTCAAAGTTGTCCGCCTCCAGTTGTGTATTTTTTTTCCTCCTAAAATTCCCACCGAGTAGATCTAGATCTAGGCTAGCCCCACTGTTTATCAGCCATGCAATCTGTCCACCACTCCTGAACTCCAAAAAAAAAGCGGGCCACATGTGGACGCCACAGGCCTGGCAATAAAAAAAACTTCCACCTGTTCCCGGGGAAATTTTTTGTTTAACATCTTTGAGAACGCCTGTTCTGATCATTCGACAACGCTTGAAGACGTGTTGTTAAGGGGCATGAATCCATCGAACAAACAGCTGTTTCGATTTTGTTTTCTTTATATGAAACGTTATAAACCACGTAACAATTCATATATTTGTTGCGTGTGCAAACGCGTACTGCTAGTGATCGCACATATCAGAGGCATTTTTCACATACCTACTGACACAATATAGGTCATTCACGAGATAGGCTTCGACCCTGTCTTACGGGAGGGCAATCTGGACTGAAATGAAAAGGATACAACGGCTCAGCAAAGCGACCGAGGTGCTCAATAAATTGTTTCCTGAAACGGTAATCGAATTCAGGTATCCTGAGAGGGACGACAAAGCGTCTAGCCGCTACACCACAAACACCAGTAGAGAATGTCAGGAATTGGTCGTTAAAATGTAAAAATACAACCCAAGCCGCATCCAGGTTCCAACCTTTTCCTTGAGCATGCCGGCCTAGTTTGTAAACAACCATAAGAGAGGACCAGCAGAATAATATATTAATTAGCAGAAGAACCACAAACATATGGACCGCAAAAGCTGTGCATGTTTGACGCATGACCGCCGGCACGAACGTTGGACATACTCAGTGCATATTGTTGTACATATTGGTATTATGTGCTTTGCACGCCTGTAGCTCAGATTGTTTAATTATATGTACTGTGCACGCCTGTAGCTCAGATTGTTTAATTATATGTACTGTGCACGCCTGTAGCTCAAATTATAAAGTGCTGTTTTAGTTTTAGTTAGGTTTTACGGCGCTCGCGACTGAAAAAGGTCATATGGACTCGTATGAGCGCCAATGGGAGGATGTCAACAGAGAAGTCCAAACGGGGAATCAGGCTTACTCTGCTCACCTCTCTAACCTCAACAGTACAAAGTCTGCTTCGACTATCAAGGCACCCCGGAAATAGTTCACAAGAGACTAGTGTGACAAACATACAAAAGAAATATAGAAAAATGACGATAGTAAGGATGAGGAAAGAAAACGTAGCAGTTCCCCCTATATTGCTCCGGCACAGTATGAGCATGACATTGATAAGTAAGTAAATTTACAATACTACTGTGCATAAGAATATTAAG